TAAAGGGTTGAGATATAAATTTTTTCGAGTCCAGGTTTAATCAGTGTAAACTGCTGGAGGATACACAGGTCATGAAATAAGACAGTTATGTGTTTTTATTAAATTGGCTAAATTAAACTTCATTCACAGTGTTTTGCATTGTATATCTAAAAATGCAAAGTACTATAATTTGCAGGAAGAATTTAACTTGGTTTACTTGACACATTTTTCATACATTAGTTTTTATATTTCATTGTATTTTCCTTTATTGTTCATGGCCTGGGTGTCCTTGTACTAATGTGAAATAATGGCTTCTGTTGATATCAAGCTTGTGCCCAATATGCAAGATTGCTATTAATGAAATAATGCAATGCATGATCTATTTTGTGTATAATTGTTCTTTTTCGTTGATATATTTCTTCTGTTTGCTGTTCCGGTGTAATACTGAAGGAAAACAAAAAATTCTCACATGCTGCTTAATTTTGTGTTTTAGAACCAAAATGAAGACTGGGGAAGTTTGTCAGCTGACGATATCTTATGATTGAAAGAAATCTTAGGCTTTTTGCCTGTTTTGAGTCCCATCCAGATCATTGGTAACTATTTTCCCATTTGAGTGGCATGGGTATAGTTTGGGAGCATAATGAATGATGCACGTTTGCAAACCTTTCCATGGTACTCATTGCTAAATTGCCTGTTAACTGGAGAAAGGTTGGGAGGAATAATATCTTGGTACTGAAGCGAATTGGTGATGGGGTTGATCCTATTCGGCATTTGCATGAATATCGTGCCTTGTTCCTGCTAATATTGTTTGAAGCTAACATTATTAAAAGAAAATGCTCAACTTGCAGCAGATGTATATGTTTAAATCTAATTATTTTATTTAATATTACAATGAATGATATTAGTCCATCAAAACTAATGATCTGTAAAATAGGTCTTCATTCTTAAGTATCCCTTTGAATGCTAACCAAAAAGGATGCACAGGGTCTAGGCCCTTGTTTTAGGATATTTATGATCACTTGAGGCAGTATTGAATAATATTTTATTAATTTTAATGGAATATTTGAATGTTCAGTTTCCCCTTTTTTGTGCAACTGCCTCATAAATCTGCTGAAGGTGAATAGATAATTCAATGAGGTTGTTCTTCAGTAAATATTACAATGAGGTTGTTCGCACTAACTGAGCTGAAAGTGTAGATATCCCTCGATCATCTTGTCCGTATTAAGTAATCCAAGATTATGCTTAATTTGGGCAAATGCAGTATAAATCCGGCAAATGCAGCAAATTAATCCACGTATGTTTTGCAACCTTTTTTCCTGACAATAATAATAATAATAATCCTTGCATTTGATATAGCGCTTTTCACGTCGAGAGGACGTCCCAAAGCGCTTCACAGAACACACTGTAAAGTGAATTGACTATATTTGTGGGCGAACGCGGCAGCCAATTGCGCACAGCAATGTCCCACAAACAGTCGTAGATTGAAAATGACCAATTTATTTATTGGTTTTGGAGGGATTATTATTAGGCGTGTGTAGTAAGGAAACCCCTACAACACCTAGCTACACATAGCCATTCATCATATGCAGATGACATTAATATGGTTCAAGTAGTACAGAAATGCGTGTTCCATGAAGTATTTCATCTTTCTGACTATCCTCCTTTGGAAGTTGTGGGAGGATGAAAGAGGCAAGCAGGTCTCTGAAGCTGAGGTGAGATGCTTGGCAATGGAATGTCAGAATTGAGTCAACCCTCTGGAGGTCTCAGTAATCCGGTTCCTTAGACAGTCGAGTCCACAGTACACCAATGCACTACTGACCAGCCACCCTGGGTTTTTAGTAGAACTTTTTTAGGAGGGCCAGACTGGTCACTGATTTAAATGAGGCCAAACACGTTTTATTCAATAAAATGATGGGGATTGCTAGATTTGTGCAATTTTAAGCTTAGGTCTTAATATTACATTTTAACAACTTTGTCTTGCTAAACATTTGGCTTTGACATGACTTAACACAATTACTGCTAATTTCCCTGTCTTGTTCTATCTGTCTTTTTCTGGTGGTTAGCAGGCAGCTGGGATGGGGGTGTGGGAATGAGGACCATAAACCTCTTGTGAGGAACTTTTTTTAACTAACCTCAGCAAAAACAAATTAATCCAGCACATTACACATATATTGACTGAACTAATGTTTAAATTGTTTGTGTTTTTATGCAAATCTAGCTGTGTTAATGTAAATTGATTTACAAAGTCCTTCAGTAATTATATCAGAAATATTCTGTGACAAAAGTACCTTAATCAATTTTTAATCTTTAGGGATTGTGTTTTAGCTACACCATAGCTGAATACAGTTCCCCGATCTTCCACCATAGATTAATTGCTACACAGAAGGCAGGGTGATGTTTGACTCTTGCAACAGACCAAAGGTATAAATGAGGCAAATTCCTCAAAGGACTGTGCACTCAATACAGAAAAATACTTGTCAGCTATGTATTACAATCATAGTTCATTTATAAAGTTTCTATTTCTACTTGTTTCTTCTTATATATTGTGACTATTCAATGTCCCAATTTATGAAGACTAGTGACAGCACACCAGGATGATCTCATTGGTTACAATGAGAAGCTTGGTAAACATGGGTTGTATTTCTTAGAACTGAGCTGGTTAAGCAGTAGTCTTGTCTGATTGATGTCTTGAAATAATAAAAGGAATTTAAAAAAAGAACAGCTTGCACTTATATAATGCCCTCCACGCAGGGTAGAGTTGCAGAGCACTTAACAGTGGCAGAGCGTGACTCTGAGCCGAGTGGAGGGAGTAGGTGTCCGTAAGCACAGTCAAAGAGGAAAGTTTTCAGGAGGGACTTGAAAGAAGGGAGGGGGCAAAGCGAAGGGATTGAGGGAGAGTGCTCCAGAGTTTTGGGGCATAGTGGCTGAAAGCATGACCTCTGATGGGGCTGACGGTGCGAGGGACGAGCAGGAGGCTGGTGCCAGTTGAGCGGAGGTGCTGGGTGGTGGATTGGAGAGTGAGGAAGTCGGAGAGGTAGGGAGGTAATGGATTTGAACACAAGAGTGATTAGTTGTTGTTGAAGGGAATTTACAAGGTAGATGGGGAATGACTGTTCCGTTTAGTGGGTAAATCGAGAATAAGGGAAAATTATTATAAATGTAATTAAACTGGTTAAAAGTGAAACCAGAAAACATTTCTTCACACACAGGATTGTGAAATTGTGGAATGTACTGCTCTGGAAGGACATAGATACAGAATTAATTGGGTGTATAAATGGGCACTCAAGTGTTTTGAACGATATGGAGAAAATCCAGAAGATAGGATTAAAAAATTATAGCTGAATTAAACTAATAAATTATTGAAGTACTATAAGTCTTGGAGTAAAATTCAAGAATTGGCAAGTTAGAATAGCTTGCCAAACACTACTTATTCTTCTGTCAAGAGACAAGGTAAGTCTTGTTCTCATTCCTCCTACCCTGCCTTAATAATAATAAAAATAATGAACATTTGTTCACTGTGGTAGATCCGGTGATTTAATGGTGTGTAACAATTTGATTAATCTTGCTAAACATTGATATATGTATGGTCTCTGTCCAAAAATCCCCCTTGTGAAATTGATCATTTGTTTCATGGCTGTTTGTGGGGACATTGCTATGTGTAAATTTGCTGTCGTATTTGCCAACAAATACACAATTACTACACTTTATAAAAATCAAGCCAGTTTACATCACTTAACACAAGGTACTGCTGCCAGAAGAATATAACCACCTTGTCTGGAGAGGTGTCAGTGTAGATGACTAAATGACACCTATTGCCTCAGTTACATTGCAGCCATTGTGCTGAACTAAGGCCCACAAATCTACAAATTTAGTTACACCATTTTATCTTAAAATTTAGGATCACATATTTGTGGAAAATTGTTGAATTCAGTCATGTTTTGGAAGGCAGGTTTTATAAAACTGACTTCCAAATTGAGACACAATTGTTAAGAATTTTCCACAATTCAGTGTGATCTTGAATTTTAAATGAAATGGCGAAGGACTAGATAGCATTTCAGGCATCAGTTGCCTTCAGCAGAGTTTCTAAGAGCCAGGCATATGGACCTGTACCGGCAACTTCACATTTATATCCTCAGGCAAATTGAAGGAAAGTGGCACACGTATTTGTGAACATGTATTTGGACAAAACTCCAGTATATTATAGTATCAGGTATATAACTAATATATAACTAACTAATATTGAAATGAAAAAACTGAGTACCAAAGATATTTGAGTGTGTATTTCCACAATCAATCTGTAATCCTAGACCTTCTGTATCCACCCTACCCAGATAAATTATTGGCCTTTGCAAATATAATCATTTCCCAAAGGTAATCTTGAAAGTTAACGTGCATTTTCCGCATAAATGCTGCCGGCATTGTCTTGAATTCATTACATCCTATTCATGGTAAATATATTTGCAGTTGTCTGAAATATGCAATTGGTAAGATACAGTCTGCTGCTATGATATTTTAGCAAAGGATGTTAAGATATCGTGTACACTTCCCCAGTCTTCCTGTGTTATCATCTAACAAAACATTTTTCATCAATGTTTTTATATGTAAATGTAGTCATTAACTGTTCAATGGCTTTTTCCATTGTTTGAATGACTGAGTGGTTTGCCACTCAATCAAATCAATGTAAACTGTCTCTGTAAAATATAAAGTTTTCTTCTATAATCAGGCAACATCCTTATTTTGGCATGGTGTTATTTCTGCCCTCCCTTGTTAACCCTCTGGTAACATGCATTTGCTCTCAGATCCTGAATCATGTTGACAGTCTTCAAAGTAAAAATGCAGTACGTGGGAAACAAACTATGAAATGGTTGTACCTTGTATACATTTATACGTCTGCACTGAGTTCTACATTGATAGCTGAATTGCATCCCACCATGATCAGAGCGTTAACAGGATTTGCATGCTTTTTTACGCATCTTATTTTTCTTTCTCCTTCTCCTTCCCTCCTTCCTTCCCCCTCATAGCCACGGCACGAATATTTTAATGTGCCCGTATACTAATGGCTTGGCTCATCTTGCGTGGTGACTTGCGAGGAGATGACGATGGCTGCTTTGCTGTTGGTGGAATGCTGTCCTGGGCTCCTGGGCTGTATGAAGCCATTCATTTGAGCATTATATAAATCTGGCTGAATAACTAACCCTAATAGCGATATCAATGCTCTGTTTGTTCCTTACTAGCAGCCAGTTTATCCATGTATAAGTATTTGTTTATGTTCTGTCATTGTATCTTGTTCTGTTATATTCCCTCATTCTTATCTTACAGCTGCAGTATTCATATAATAGTCTGATTTTACTGCTACCAAATTATCCTACTGCTAAACTGGACTCTTATGGATATTAGATTGGATTCAACTGCAAGTGTTTTACTTAGACTATGATGTCTATTTTTACAAACAATCTGGCTTTCTTTAGAGATCTTTTAAACCTTAGATCACAATAATTTAAGTTAGCTTTAAAACCTTAGAGCTGAGGAGTCCTGCAGCTTTATGATCAGAAATGGTTGAATGAGTCCTTGCATAGCTTGCACAATATGAAGACCGAAGCTACATCCTGTGTTTTCACGGAAATCTGGTGAGATGGTAAATAGGTAAGAGTTAGATCAGAACTGATTAATGATTCAGAGTAAAACAAGGAAATAAACAGTACTGGTTTGTTATTAATTTAGCCTTTTTGGTCAATTGTTTCTAGATTTAAATTTGACCTGCTAGATGAAAAATGAATGAGCTGGGCTAATTCAAATTTAGTAATTGTCCAATAACAGTAGGCTGATATCCAGTTGTTGATTTCTGACTAATCTTTCATAGGCATTAGCCTATTGGCTTGTTTAGATTTGTAAAACTAGATCAATAAAGAAAACTCCAGAGTCTTGGTACTTCTTGTAAAATATTTGTATCCAGTAATGCACTTGGTAGGGCTATCCGTTAATACAGCTTCTTGGTGTTTTGATAATTCTCTTCGATAGAATGGTAAGGCAGTGGTCTTACGCATGCTGAGGGAGGGAAAATGAAAGAATACTGGTTAATTAACGCAGCATTTGCGTGCAACTGAGAGGGTGAGATTTGATTGTTTTTTTTAATTGGGATTTGGTAACTAGCTTCCCCAGCTAATGCATCTGAATTTTCTTTTTGTCAAGTGTTCCACCTATTCTGCTGAGATTAATTTTGATCTTTAGTGGTATCACAGCCCTGGTCTGGTAATATCTGGCATGGGTGAATGACTACTTGAAATTGTAATTATTTGCACTTTGTCAAAGCGCTATAGTTTCTTCCAGTGCCCTTCAGAGTGTAAGGTAGGTTCAGATCTTTACTGCCAATGAAGAGGGTTTATTCTTATTGTCTAAGACCCCTTAAATTGGCCTTATGATCTTGCCTGCCCTTGTTATGGTTAGAGTAAGGTGCATTTAATAATGGTTTCCTAAACTCAGGCTGGTTATGCTGTCTTCAGTCCATGATGTTCCCTCTGAAATTACAACAGGGTTCTGCTGCACGCATAAACATTTTAACATTGTGATTGATGTATGCGGGTTTGCAAGGCACATGGCCTTCAATGGAATATGGAGTGTCCCATATGTGCCTGAGTTCACATAGCTCCATGCTTGTTTAGGCTGCTTAATAGTAAAACATTAACATTTACTGAGGGAGAGGGATTGGATTTGCACTCGAAAGGAGAGTACTTTCAATGTACGTTGTATTCTGTACTGAAGCTGGCTTTAGCTAGTATACTGAAGCCGAAACAGTGCTTCTTTGCTCCACAATCATCTATTTTGTAGTTGGCAACATTAGTGGATAGGCTGACGAGTATGACTCAGCGGGTCTTTGGTGCAAAAATCCTAATCAGAAAAATATCTATCTGTTTTAGAACGTAGGCCATTATCTTACTAGTGCTGTGATGCTGTGAAAATGTAGAACACTAGAAAATGTACTGGGTGAAGTGATTTTACCTGGAGTTTTCATTTATCACATTTACATTTGTTTAGTTTTTTTTCTATTTTTTTATTTGATGGATTTTCCTTTCATCATCTCCACGATATTTAACAGTATTTTGCATCCACAGCGACCAGAGAAGCAGCAGGCTGATCATCCGAGAATGGAATCCATAACTGGCAATAGGCAGTTTAGATTGCATGCTTATGAATGAAGCACCAGGAATGGCAATAGATGAGTAAGAAGTTGGAAACTAATACATTTATATCAGAGTCAAGAAAACATATTACAGGAAATATGTCAGGCAGCTTGAACTAAAATATATTATGGTACAGTTTAAGACACTATTAATGATTTTTAATTTTTTTAAAAAAAAAATCTCTGGCCTCTGCCTTCCCTTGTTCCTCCGAGTGCTGGGGGTGAGAGGCCTGTACCTGATGCTCTCCAGAATTAGGTAAGCAGGGTGCATTCCTGCAGGGAGAGAGCGATATCCCATATCAGATGTAGGGAAATTTCCCATTGGTAGGTGGCCTCTTAATTGGGCTTGAATTGATTTTTGCACAGTGATGGGTTTCTGCGTGTGCCAGGCACTAGTTGGCTTTTTGTTTAAAAAAAACCTTCTTCAGTGTTGGGGAAAGCTCCAACAGAGGTCAGAAAAATATTGTGAGTTGCTGCTTCCAGAGATTTGAGTTAAAACCATCTTTGTTTTCTTGTGGATGGCTGAAGCTCTGGAGGTAGTAACAGTGCAGCCTTATTTACTTTAGGGGTTTGCCTTTGGAAGCAGGGCTGTGAAGTAGATACAACATGAGTATTTTGGAGTTTAATCAGCAACTAAAGGAGAGTTCAGAGATGGATTAGCAAGAGCAGAAATGCAGAACAGCGCTTAAGTTAGTGATGGAGAGATTTGTCCCCTCTTGGAATTGGAACTCTAGCAAACTGGATTTCTGATCTAGTTGCTTTGAACTGGATCATAGACCTGAATTAAGAATTTTAATTTAAGATTTCTGACCAAGTACCCTTATTTCAGCCGTACTTTAGAAAAGATTTCCTTTGAAATATCATTTTTAGAGCTCACTGGGGTTGTGTGGAGGAAAGCAACAACAAGCAATAGGTGACATTGATGTGGTCTAATGTGTATATTTCATTTAAACAGTGTTATAAATACATTAACAATATAATTTGTTGATATTTACCAATATTGATCATAGTATTCATGTATATATTAACAAAATAATTTTTCTGCTTTTCCTTGTGTAAGTTTTGATCTGAGGCAGTATCAGTCTGTGTTCCTACAGAAAATATAACAATAGTTCTTGTTCTTATTGCTGAGGCGAAATTGGATGCATGTTGAACTATAAAATGTTCTAAACCTGTTTAAGTTGGATCCAGGAGTACAAATATTCTTGGTAAGTATATTTTGGCCTTAGACAGATTCTAATAAATCATTTCTCCCAGTTAAATTCCTCGTGTTACATATTAATCAGTCATAAATGCATGAAAAAAGCCCAATTTATAATAATCCTTGCATTTGATATAGCGCTTTTCACGTCTTCTAGAGTGCTTTTCACGTCTCAAAGTGCTTAAATTGTTGCCTTTCAATTTTTCCAATGAACAATAGTTATGTTCCTTAGAGTAAATAAATGAATGACCTCCAATAGTACTTGCCCTTAGGAATATGTAACCATCACCATCTGCTTGTCCCGTGCTGATTACTGGCGTCAGGAAATGATTATTTGAAACCCTCTAACTCCAATATTTCTCAACTTTTTGATCCAGTGATTGTTTTGTTTTAATGGCATTATAATTTTTGTATCCGTATAGATGACTACGGGTTAGTTACAAGCAAACTATACTAGGTGGGCTCAGTGATCTTAAATTTGAGCCGTATCTTTCTATGTGTGGTTTCGAACTTATACAATATCTAATTTAGAAAATTCTGAAATCATAGCAAATCTAAAAATCTGATATAAATTGCTGTAAATTAGTTACTAGCTAACGTATTCATATTAATTTTACTGGTTCATGGGTCTTCCATAGATAGTTGCAGTAAAATAAGGATATTGAAATGTTTTATTTTTACATAGCTTCATAAATAAAAGTTTGTTTTACATTATGTAGTACGTTGGGTTAATGCTGTTTTCATCTCTTGCTTTTTGGTGGTGGGGCTTTTTGCCATTGCAAGTGTGTCTAATGAATTAAGGAATATTCAGACTTATCTGTTTTAAAGTTTAACTTTTAAATATTACAATAATCCTGATATTAAATGCCTGCTTCTGTGTGATTTGGTTTTGGTCTTTGTTACTGTGCACTTCGCTGACTTAAACTGCTCTTTTGTCTGTAAGCAAAAGCTTGCCTTAAACTTGTGTTCTGCAAAGCACATACTTCTGGCATGTTATGAATAAAACATTCCTGCATGCATCAATGTTTTTTGACTATTTTGTATGCCTCAACCGCTACTACAAAAACTATGTTGATTCTTATAAGAAGAAGAAAATAATAGTCTTCGTTTGATATAGGGCCTTATCACGTCTTCGAGTCCCAAAGCACTTCACAGAATATACTGTAAAGTGAATTGATTTATGTTTTGTGGGTGAATCGTCCACAAAAGTTCTTGTGTATTTTAGGTGACATACTGACAAATTAGGCCAATGATTAACCACACCATTACTTGATTTGCTCCATTACTTGGTTTCAACATCTAGCAATCAGAAACAAAATCTTTTTGAACTTACGTTAAATTTCATTGATTTCCAGTTCTTCCTGCTTCTCTTATGCATCTTGAGGTCTTCAGCAATAAGTTCTGTTCTGGACAACTATCAGTGTGGTTATTTTGCATGGTCTCAATTTTTTTGGCACTCACACGAAACTCGACGTGCGAGTTGTTATATAAATGTGACTTTCTATTGAATTAAAAGTTCTAACTGGCTGCCATTTAGAATAAATGGTTGGGTTTCCATGTAAGCTGGAAGATTCAACAAACTTATTTGCACAGCACATAATTAAGCATCAGAACACATAGCTTCTGTGCTGGAGTTAGGACACTTGGATTAGATTTTAGACAGCTCTGCACCTCATTTTAACATAGGAACTGATTCAGACCCATAGACACTATGATTTGGTGTCTGAACCACTTTGAAGGCGGATGCTTCAGGACTGTTTAACGTTTTCCAAGTATGAATGTATAAAGTACTTGTAAAGGTTTAACGATTTTGTAAAGGAACTTCTTAATTTTTTTGAGAAATTGTGACTAAGGTTAAATTAAAATTATGTTTTTAGAAAGACCTGGATAATTTTCTTGTGAAGATTAATGATTATTTCCAGTGTAGACAATGCTTCCATATTTGTTCAACTGATGCTTACATATTTGTTATTATGTAGAATTACCATCTTTCAAGTTATTTTATTTTCAACAATACCCAGGTTCACAGCATTGCCTAATATTTGACGTACCTTCAACCATCCTGCCATTTTCAGATATCTTTTGCAGTTTCTCACCGCATCTTTGATTCTGATTTCAGTATTTATGGGGTCTTGCATTGGCAACCTATGCCATCACAGGAAAATAAATGAGCTGATTTTAATGTAAAAACTCCTGCTTGTTTTCAGGTGCACATACCATTTTCTAGCTGAGTAGGCTAGTTGTTTCCATGCTGCCAATGCCACTCTGTATCCAGTTAAATGGAGATGCATTAAAGCAGTCAAGATCGACTCTCTCCAACCACCTCCCCACCCTGCCCCACCACTATACACACCCACACATAGTCTATGTAAGATTAGGAATTTGCAATACGGATCTTCAGAAAAATGTATAAATGCTTTTCCGATGGCACATTAGGAGATTAATGCAGCTGCAATTGTAACTTAGACTGTTCCTGCAACACCTTTCGTCATTGCAGTAGCCAATTTCTTTCAGGTTAAATATGTGCATATTATTTTATTAGAAAGTTGAAATATGATTAAAAGGGATTGATTTGTTGCATTCACTTTGAATGAGCTAATAAAGCTTATACAATACTGTACCATTCCTGTGAAGTGCACAACATTTCAACTTGTGTAATGAACCCTCGGTGAAGTCCTGAGTAAATGATGCTAGTCAGTGTAAGCAAACTTGATAAAGATGCTTCAGTTTCTCTTGTATGCTTATCCTTTTTTCTTTTGTGCCCTTTTGCCACACCTGTAATTAGGATACCAAAGTAAGTTTTAATTTTATAGTACATGGCTGAATACAAGTGTTTCCCCCCCTCTGGATAATACCCACTAATTGCAATATATTGTGCAGTTTAGAATTTTTGATCTGAATATTCTGTTTGAATATTTAGGTGTATCTATTCGATGTAGCTGCATGTTAGTTACATATTTGCATAGTGCATTGATATGTACTAGTGTACTGTACCCCGGAGTGATAGCATCTTCATCATAGCCTAGCCTGTATTTCTCCAGCGGAGACGGATCTTGGCTGTATCATCAGTAGACAAGCAGCACAACTGAAACCAAATTCTGCCTCACTGGTAGGGGCAATTATTGGGCCTGGCACTCCCTCATTACAACTGATATCGGCAATGGCCTAGTAATAGATTCCCTGCGAACTCTTAGCAGGGAATGGTGCAGTGATACCTAAAACTAGAAATGGGGAGCAACATGTTTAACAAGGGAAGGTGCACACATTAATGAACTGCTTTCACATGGCAGCCGTAAAGCAAAACATCATCCTCTGCATCATGTTTCAGTTTTAGGTACTCAATATATTTTACATTTCCACACATGAACCGATATCAGATTGTGTTGTAAAAATTCAATTACCAAAATGTTCAATTTTGCCTTCACAGGAAGCTGAGACTCCTCGTAGTGTGCTTGAAGAAATTGGACTGACATAAGACTTCTGTTAAAATCAATACTCAGAGTATTCAGATCGGTATTTCACTGCTTTAATTGTAACGTATTGCTACTATTGTAAGATGCTGTCTTTTTGATTTCAGTGCTTTTGTTAGCATCAATTGAAATTCCAACTTTTTTGTTTACTACTCCTGAAAATTAAAAGGGAAAACTAGGTGTTTTGGGAATTAAACTTGGGGACTGAAAAGGACTAGCTTAAATTCAAAGGTTGATAAAATCATTCCTAGAATGAAATATGGAGTTATCCTGAATACTTTTACAGACTGTATGTGTACATTTTAAAATTGAATGTCTCTGGAGTTGTTAATGAGCAGTTCTACACAGACCTAACTTACTTCCCATGTTGACACCTTTCTGTTGGCTTGAGGAATTGCACACCAAGTTTGCAAGTTTTTGTTGTCACCCTGCTTATCCTAAAGTGACTTGTTTACAAGTTTTGCCATTTTATTTCTTAAGGTTGATTAATACTTTTTAAAATGCATTGTTTCAAAGTTTATTTCTTGTTCCTAACTTGTATTAAGAGGACATGTTTGTGCTTGAAATCAAATAATTCATGTTTCCAGTATACCAAATTTCCAAAATACCAAAGCATTGACTACTGTTCTCAAGTTTCCATGTTACTGTTTTATAGAAAGTGCAGGATATCTATTTTTAATCAATATAAATCATGCAGCCAATAGGTTGCATAGATTTTGATTTGTTTCTATTTATTTTTAATAATTTAATCCAGAAAGCTAGGGTTATATTGGAAATTGACGCCCTTGTCAAGGGTGCCTCAGACTTCAGGATTTTGAAAGGAGGAAAGGGATTAGTCTAGTGATATGTTGAAATCGTGTAAACCTAAAAATTTAACGTTTGATTGTGAGAAATACATTTCAACATCATAATGTCTGCATTTCAATTGTTTGGGTGTGACATCAGTTTAATCTGTTACCTAGCACTAGCAACTCATCAGAAACAATCAAGACAAGTATTAGAATAATGAAAGTTATTATTTTAGCAAAATGAACAGTATTAACAATGTTGCTTATTCTGCAACATTTCTGTTTACAAAAAAATCGGTAATGATGACAGTCAAATGTTTATTGTAAACTTGTTTTTGTATTTTTGTTTTATGTGCTTGAACTGAACTTGATGTGATGTAAGTTGTTTTTCTTCAATTACGTTTTCTTTTTGTTACATTTTCCAATATCATCTTATTCCTCCAGCCAAACCAAGTTGATCAAATTGGTTTATAGTTTTCATTTTTTATTTGTGTTTGGTCCGAAATTTTCCATTAAAATTAGTTTGGTGCATACTGAGTTTGACAAATTTATCAGGCAGTTGCAGTGTTTGTCTCATCTGACTAGTTAACGCTTGTGTAAAATGAAGCTACATTGTGTCGCAGTCTGGTCGTGTACAATTTACGTTTTATGAACCTGGGAGAGAGAGTACTATATTACAACACAAGACAAATACTAATGTAACTTTCAAATAATAAATGCCCTTTTTTTAAAATGCTACGTTGTTTGTACCTTTCAAATTATTTTTATAAACTGAAGACAAACTGTTTTTAAAATAAAGCTTCTCCATTCATTATATTAGATTGCTAATGCAATCACATTACTCTTGTTTTTGAACATGCAGTTCTCCAGGTATGTTGTACTGTATCTTAGTATTCAGTGTGGAATGTACATCTTTCATTAAGGGGCATTATAACTTGACATAAGGCATAGACTGGTGTGAAAATGATCCAGACAGCTCTTAAACTTCAACAAGAACAATTTACACTTCATATTGCTTTTCATATTAGAATGTAAATGTTGAGATGGCTAATGGCATCACCTTTTGCAGCTGAGCTGAGATTACATACTTGGCAACAGAGCATCGGAATCCTCTGATGGTCTGGGTAATTCAGTTCAATTGGGTCCGTAATGCTCCAGTCTGTTGATGACAGACCAGCCAGCTTGGCTTATTCCATCTTCCATATTTTAGCTGTTTCAGCTATTTTGCTCTAGTTGTAGTAGTAGTAAACATAATGCTTGCATTTGATATAGAACCTTATCAAGTCTCTGAGATATCTGAAAGTGCTTAACATGTTTTACTGGTAGAGTGTAGTGACTATTATCTTGCCAGGTTTATTGCATTGATCAAGGTTGATAAATGTTAATATTCATGAAATGGGATTCCATAGCATTCTTTCCTTCTTACATTTTTTCCCCCTTTTATCCCTTTCTATTCTTTAAATTTCATTTTACTACCCTGTAAACTTAATGTAATGTCTTGACCAATACGCTTGTCTAAACAAAATGCATTTCAAAAATTGGATTAATTTTAAATTACTCATCTCGTTTGAAACTTTACTGGTAGTTTGGCTACCACAAGTGCCTACATACCATTCTACATGGTGTAATTTCAAATTATCCCATTCAATTGTCAATTTAGATTCCTTCTGCCTTTTACCTTCAGGTAAATGCGAATGCAAACTTTATTGCATAATTCTGCCCCAAATCCTCTGCCTGTTTTCTGATTAACCTGAAGATGATTTTCGAACGTGTCTATGAGCACCTCCCATGTCTCTCTGGGTCAGCGTTACACTGTACCACTGTTAAGCTCTCTGATGTTTACCCTGCATGAAGAGTGCTATCTAAAATGTTTTATCTTGCTTTCAAATTCACTGCCAAAATTCAAATGTCTTGTGATATTTTTAGGATGTTGCTGGTTAAATAGCCACCATGTTTGCATCTATTATGTTCACTTAAGATTTCTATCAGTAAAGGACTTTAACAAGTTTGTAAAAGGTTATATAAATAGTCTGCAAGAATTAATCATTCCACAAATAATTTTTTTCTAAATTAAAACTTTCTGATTTAATTAAGATTTTATCCATGACACAACTGTATATTTGTGCAGACGTTACTGGAGCTTGCTTCAGATCTTTGTGTGAGGATATTTCTGGACAGTAAATATAGATGGGTTTGGGAGAAAGAGCAGGGGAATGAAGCCAAATGGTCACATTTATAAAGCGGGCCTGAAGAGTCTGAATGAACTCTGGTGTAAAATATGATTGCTTCTCTCATCTGAGGGAATTTGAACAGTTTCTACTGCCAAAAGGGAGAAAAGATTGTACATTTTCTTACAGAATGTTAAACATCCCAACTCCAGCTAAAATTTATGAAAAAATTACAATGACATTTAGGCTCCATTGTCACTGAATTTACAAAATGTATTGTAAAAGCTGATTGTGCAGACTCATGCTGGGTTTATGGTTCGTGCTGCCGCATTTGCTCTTTTTCTGTGTAAAGTGAGCACCTACCTTTTGGGGAAGGGAGAAACTACAGCGATTGAGAAAGTTTTCTCATTAGCTGCCACACAATTTCCAACAAGTCACTAAATAGCAATCAGGTAGAGACCCTAGCTGAGTTTTTCTTGTTTTCAAACCCAAATAACCTTAATCTCTTCGCTGACCACCTTAGCTTACATCAGGACCTTGGACCTCACTGCCCTGTACAACCCAACGGTGTAATGGTTTGAGGCACTGGTGAGCTGAAAACATTGCTGCAATTTCAGGACCATTTGCTACAGCAGAACAATGGAATAGATAATCAACCTTTAAAACCCTGCATCCATCAATTAATATTTATTGTTTACAGTGCAGTCTTATGCAAATTATGCAAACCCATATGCACAAAGGGAATTACAAATGCCCTTACACAATTTGAATTAGATGCCAATGACTCAAACAAACCAGTAAAGTAAATTGTGAATATACAGTCAACATAAAATGGAGCTCATCTTGTCCTGTTCAGTTGCTTCCTTGTCAATGCTGCAAATTATTAATTTTATTTTTCATTCCTGTGCCTGTAAAGCAATTTAAAATTAAATTTAATACATTTTCTAAATGTACTACACAACCGTTATTATTACCATATGCAATTTTTCTAGTTAATGTATTTAAAAGAGGCACTTCAAAGTTTACATGCACCTCATTTCTGATTCAAGATTCACATTTTTTTTAAACTGTATTGAGAAATTTAGGTTGAAAAGCTCATAGTACAGAAGTCATCAAGGCTGAAGAGAAAGCAGATAAAAACAGATGAATTCAGAAATTGTGCTTACGTAATACTAAGACTAACGTGGTTGTAGAAATAATAATTATCCTCGCACTTGATATAATAATAATAATCCTTGCATTTGATATAGCGCTTTTCACGTCGGGAGGATGTCCCAAAGCACTTCACAGAACACACTGTAAAGTGAATTGACTGTATATTTGTGGGCGAACGCGGCAGCCAATTGCGCACAGCAATGTCCCACAAACAGCCGTGGATTGAAAATGACCAATTTATTATTGTTTTTGGTTTTGGAGGGTTTGGAGGGATTATTATTAAGCTCTGTGTGGAGTAAGGAAACTTGCCCAAGGTTTCACCCTGTCTGGAATTGAACTCGGGTCTCTCGCTTGCAAAGCGAGTGCTCTAACCACTGAGCTACAGGACTCCACGATATGGCGTCTTATCATGTCTTTGAGATGTCTCAAATTGCTTCACAGAATATAATTTAAAGTGAATTGTCTATATTTTTGTGGCCAAACATGGCAGCACAGTTGTGTCCCACAAGCAGTTATGGATTGAGTGACTAAATTTAAAAAAACTTTTTGGGGGGATTATTACCCCAGGAAAGTGATCTGCCAATCGACTAACAACCGGGTACCTACTTACTGCTAGGTAAACAAAGTCGTATGGAGTAAAGAAACTTGCCCAATGTTTCGTCCTGCCCAGGAATTGAACCCAGGTCCTCTCGTTCGCGAGGAGAGTGCACTAACCACTGAGCTACAGGACTCCATCACTGGTAGTCCTTGACCTACCTTCCCTAGCAGGTAGGGAAGAGCCTCATTTATAGTGTGGTTTACTGTGGACCTATTCTAACAAGTTCTGTAATATACTGATATTGGATTCCAGAAATGTCACTTTTTAACAGGTTACTAGGAGGCAAATAGACCATTGTGAGTGATAGAATAATTTGCCTTCACCATCACCCCGTGTGTTCAGAATGTCAGTTGCATAACAATTCACCTTACAATGCTAGGTTATTTCTGCCAACGTTTTATACCTCTTGATAATTCTCAAAATTTCCCCTGCGCAAAAATTACCTTTACTCATCCACAGTGGTCAACTGGTGAATTTTGGCTTCCTTTTCACTTGCATCTTCCTGTTTGGCAGAGACCTCTATATCACTCATGGAGCTTTTTGTACTAGAAGTAGAAAGGCTTCTTGATTCAGCATTGTCTTTTGTGACTTGTGTGTCTTTACCTTTTGAATTGGTCGGAGTATTTTTGGCATTACTTTCCTGTCTTTTTTTGGAATTCTTGGATTTGCCTTCAGACTTGTTCTTTTTCTTCTCTTTCTTAGCTTTCTTCTTCTTACTCTTTTTGCTTTTACTTTCTGTATCTTTACTTTTTTTGCTCCGCCCATGACTAGGACTTCTGCTCCTAGACTGCTCTTTATCTCTACTCCTAGATCGTGGTTTACTTCTGCTTCGGGACTGCCCGTTCCCCCGTCCCTTGCTGACTGACCTGCCCCGGCTTCTCCCTCTACTTCTTGATCTGGAATGACTTAAGCTCTGTGACCTCTCTACACTTTTACTCTTTGACCTGTACCTACTTCGGTCTCTGCTTGGCGACCTTCTGTCTTGACTTCTACTCCTGGACCTCTGTGACCGCCGCATTTCTCTGCTCCTACTTCTGCGATACCTGTCTCTACTTCGTGATCGCTTTCTTTCTTGACTTCTACTCCTGGATCTCTGTGACCTCCTCCTTTCCCTACTCCTGCTTCTCTTTCTTTTCCTTTCAGAGTCTCCACTTCGTCTCTGTGCTTTGTCTGGGCTATCATTGTACCATCTTCTAGATCGACCATGGTAATCATAGCGACAGCTTGTTCTGTCTCTTCTTTCAGAATATTTATTAGAATACTGTTTTGTTCTATCAGGAGACATGTGTATGTCTCGGTCAGCCTCCCAGAATTCGTTGCCAGGATTCCTGAACACATGAAGGAAGTTGCAGTGTTTTCCTCTAGGGCACTTGCGTCTTTCATAAAGTCCTGAAAAGCATTAGAAAAAACAGTTAGATACCTAAACGGGGCATGAAGACGTCAGCTTGGCTCAGGCAGAGCCCCAAAATGGGACTTTGAACTCACCTAGTCCAGGCTGTGCTCCCCTAGCACTCCAATACAGTGCTAGGGGAGCACAGCTGCAATAAGACATAATAACCTTGCACTTTATATGTTTTTAATTTGTAAAGTCAAAATTTTAGATTACCACATATTGCTGTTTTCCAACGAGTGACAGGAGAAAATTCACACTGCAACTGTTTTCCAGCATACCAACGTCCATTAAAAGTCACACAGGCTTGCTTGCATTCTTCTTCCCTACAGTAAACCAAGAGGTTGCCCGTAATAATAATAATAATCCTTGCATTTGATATAGCGCTTTTCACGTCGGGAGGACGTCCCAAAGCGCTTCACAGAACATACTGCAAAGTGAATTGACTGTATATTTGTGGGCGAACGCGGCAGCCAATTGCGCACAGCAATGTCCCACAAACAGTCGTAGATTGAAAATGACCAATTAATTATTGTTTTTGGTTTTTTTTTGAAGGGATTATTATTAGGCGTGTGGAGTAAGGAAACTTGCCCAAGGTTTCGCCCTCTGCCTGGAATTGAACTCAGTAAAAATAAATAAATAAAAATTTATAGTAAATAAAACTCAAAATTGGTAATAAATAGCAAGATAAAAATGCCCACAAACACACAAGTCAATTCAAATGTCATCGGAGCAAAAAAAATTTATGATATAACTATACATGAAAAGAGTTAATTGTCGTAACGGGGGTCTGCAAGATAGTTACAGGAGGGCCGTGTTAGCACTGTTGTTGTTGTTAGGTAGTTGGAGTTATTTTAACTTGAGCAGAGATTACGAGGCACAACCATCTCATTAGGCATGCAGAATCCAGATTTGTGTGATACCTGTATTAACATTACATTTTTATTTTATTTTCTTTCATTATTTTAAAATGTTTGCAATTAAAGGAAGATGATCAATTTCGATGTATGTATTTATTTACATATTTATTTATTAGGATGCCTAATGTCATAGGGTGGGGGGGACCTTGAGCCCAGAAAGTCTGGGAACACCTGGGAGATTAGAAGTAGCTTTCACACTGACACATCTCGTTGGGAGCATGCTGTACCTAGGAGTGGCACAATGTAAAGGTTGTGCCCATGATTTTCCAGTGCATTAAATTCAACTGTACTCTGGGAGGGTGCAGGAAATACTACTCATGCAGTTTTATAGTGTCAGTCACTCAATAATAAGAGTGCTTTGGCTAGGTCGCTTGTCTGCCTAAGGATGTTATGTTGCACCGGAGTGGGGAAAGGAAAAATATGTATGCACACATTAGAGTAATTACATTTTTAAAAAATTGGTCACTCAATCCATGACTGTTTGGCTGTGCGCATTTGGCTGCCTCATTTTGCCCATAAACATATAGTCAATTCACTTTACAGTATATTCTGTGAAGCGCTTTGAGACGTTTTGAAGACGTAGTAAGGTGCTATAGCAAATGCAAGAATTATATTATTTTTTAAAATGGTATATTAACTCAAATGTAAAAATATGGAAAAATACAAATACTTACTTTTGGTACTGGACATACACATTCCCTCTTAGATGAGGCTCATAATTACAACTGACCTAGAAAGTGAGCATTGTAAATAAAATAAAGCAGAAAGAATCCAACATGAGGTGCAGTGAAAACAGTATATTTCTGGCACAACAATGAACATTGCCACTATTCTTCATCTTAAAGAGCACACAATAAAAATAAGCTTTGTAAAATAGCTCACTATCAGTGTACAAAATTTTTATTGAAACCCTTACAAAATACGCATGGGAAGGGAGGGAAAAAGCATTGGAAGCTCATCCATGCTAACTCTAATTTTAAGTAAGGTAGAAACTCAAAAATACCTTGAACTGCAAAACTTTCCCAACACTCTTAAATTCAGGCAATACATCTTCATAGAATTCCACAAATTGCTGGTAAATATCATCTTCACTGTATTCCAGGCCAGCATCTGTATCATAATCATCTCGCCTACACTCTTCCATCCCAAAGGTAATAAACATGGCTCGGATAAGCAATGTCGGACTCGTTGATGGATAAACGTGCTTGCGAGAACACCTAAACAGAATAAAACAAACATCTGATTATATAAAACAGGCTTTTAAGTGTCACAATTCCAAGATATTTTCCAGACTTTAAATCTGAACTGTCTCACTTCCAAATATTACTACCAGCCCAAAATGTTATCACGCATGTTATGAATAATTTTGCTTTAATTTTGAAAATGGAGAGATTTGCTGAGTTCTAACAGTATCTTAAAAACATTCCCCATGTAGCAAATGGCAACACACTAACTTTTCAATAAATTGTCATTTTATAAGGCCTTTGTTTTTCACCCCCCCTTGTAAAAAGTTATCATTAACTTGAACTTCACCATGAAAGTGATAAATGATTGACAAATTTAACTGAGATTTGAAACAACTAATATTTACATATTGCATCGATGAATGTCTTGAACCGCTTCACACAACTGACTTGGAGCTCAAGCTGGGGGGAAGGGGCAATGGGGAAGAGGGAGGAGACAAGGGGACAGACAGAGGAGGGGAAAGGTAGCTGAATGTAGTCAAAAGACCGACTTTAAGCAAGGCGGAGCCAATATAGCCCAACGTGAGTGGGGTGATGGTCTTGAACAATCTGGACATGTACTGTGGAGTTCTGGATGGCCTGTAGTTTCTGTAGGAAGGAGCTAGGGAGGCTGGCAAGCAAGGTGTTGGATTGATCGATCCCGTAGGTATTGAAGGTGTAGATAAAGCACTCAGTGTCCTGAGGTAGTGGTGGAGGCAGTGGATGTGAAGGAAAGCAGAGCTAGTGAGTCTGGATATCAATTTTGCAGGATAGCTGAGGGTCAGAAAAGTCACTGAGATACTGTGCTGACTATGAGAAGCATTGAACACTGGTTTATTGGCGCACCTAAACTCAAATACACATTTCAAGACATTTTCCGAAATCAAATGTCCCCTCGAATAGAAAAGTTTACAGACCTGTCACCAAATCTGCAGGAACCAGTCTTGAGAAAGAATGGGCAGTAAGACTTATCCTTTTCAGTTCCATAATCTTCGGGTGCTTCTGGATTATGCCACGTGCCATCATTTTGAATCTGATCAACAAAACAAATCACAAGCCCAACTCAATTTGGGTTTGTAAAGAGGATTCCAGAGCAATTCTCCTATTTTCCCCCTCTTTCCTTGTGGAAAATAACATGCTTCAGCAAGAAAGTACACACATATATGTTGGCAGCTGTGAGGAATTTGAATTTACATCCTACAATTCTGATGCTCAAAACATACCTTATTTACCAATTAGTGTTTCGAGCAATTAATGACTATCCTCCTGGCTAAGTGTAATGAGAATGCTGATACTGGCATTTACCAACCTTTTTCAGGGTTTTTCAGTGTTTAAAAAAATGCTTGTAAAGGCATTGTAATTGTTTGAATCCCATGAGAAGATAGTGAATACTCCATCTTCTGTTCGAGGGATTCAATCTGAGTGATATCCCTGCCTGGCCACTGAAGAACTTTGAGGCTGGGGTGCGCGATAGGAGAGTGGGGCCACTGGAGTCTACACGTATGTGACCAGTCTAATTTTTTTTAAATTTCCATTTCAGGCCCTGTCCAGCTAGGTAGGAATTCTGGATACCTGTAGTCCAGTAAATCAGGGGGTTACTGTATTTGTAGGCAAATGCAGCAACCAATGAGTATAGTGACGGGGCATTCTCCCAACGTGGAAGGTGCTATACAAATGTAACTTATTGTTAGTTAGTACGTCCCATAGCCACAAAGTGAATGATCCAATTTATGTGGAAGATTGTTGGCTAGAACACAAGGTGAAACTATTTTTTTTAAACTCAGTTTAACATCCCATCCAAGGGATGGCATTTCAACAATGTATTGGAGTGTCAGTCAAGAAGATTATGAGCTCAAAATCCTGATGTACAGCTTGAAATCACAGCCTTCTGCCCAAAGCCTGCTACTGCATGACTCAAGCTGGCAATGTTCACTGTATCTACAGTGACTAAACACTACTGAGGGGATCCCATTAGATAAGTTTAAAGTTGTGTCAATTATTTTTGCAGAATGTTCATTTTATAAAATATTCTAAAACAGTGAGAATATAGGGACATACAGTACCTGATTTTCAGCCTGATCCAGCATTTTCTGAACAGCTTCCTACAAATGGTGTAAACACAGGACTGGTGAAAACCCTGCAGTGATCTAGTACATATCTGATTCTACTTGTTAAGAATAGAAAGATTTGTGAGGTGACTTAAATCTTTTATAACAATCAGGTTTTAAGTTTTTTTAAGCATTTGAATTCACCACCACAAACTAAATCACACATGTATGAGCTTCAATCTACTATTCAGTTTATCTTCTAAAATATGAACTTATAAATACAAAACCATACATTCCAAATCATTACATCCTGATATGAATCAGACATAGTTCAAAAGCCAAAACATTGTTTACTAATTTGAGCCTACCGATTGTTAAGAGTACTGGGTTTGGAGGTAAAAGAAACATTTCTCCTCCCCAAATCATTTAGAAATATATGTTCTGCATTTAGTTCACCAGGAACCCCACACCAGAGAAACAGTTATTTTATATTGGCCAAACTAAAAAAGTATTTTCCAATAAATAAAAATAGTTATCAGTAATTAGAAAGTGGACAGATTAGCCCACAAATTATTTTTTTTTAGATTTTTTTGGTAAAATACAAAACCCTCATTGGATTTTTAAAAATCTGCACTATCCACATTTTGCTGATGGATCATATTCACAAAACTAATCAAACATCCATAGTCAACTTATTTGGGGTTTAAGCACTTGAATCGATTTACATGCCAAATGCTTCAAAATCAGAACACCCAATGGTTTAGACTGAACCGATCCTAAACAGTCTCAAGTAATTTAACATCACATTTACTTTAGTTTTTTTATTGGCTGACTGAACTGTATTCCATATGCTCCAGATTATTGGAAAGATTACCACATATTTCAAAATCCTATTGCAGAATATTTTTACATTTTTCAAGAAAGAAACAAAAAGCTGAACAAACTGAAAATATTTTGATAATTCTAATCAAGTTGCTAAATACTATGAAAAAGATACATCTTGATGAATTAGACCAGTAAGGAAAAGCCGTGGAAAACTCTTTAGTACAGAACTGTTAAGGAATATCAGTTGTATAATTCTAGATATTTTTCACATCACAATATGCAAAACAATGCTGTTGTTACAATGTATACCGTCTAAAGACAACTATCAGTTACCATGCAACTTCTTGGCTTTATAGTATTCATGGTTTGCAGCATTGAAGACAATGAATGTTTGATCCATATTCAATAATTCACTAAATCAATAAACTAGTTCCAATGGATCTGATACACTGGATCTGTCACTAGTTACGAATTAAGAGTTGTGGAAGTTGAAATATGTTGCTACGCTAATGATGTAATATGGTTTTCTTCCCATTTACTAGACTAAACATGTTCTACTTTCGACTGATAACTAACTATTCAGCTGTAGAATTACGAATAATCAGCAAACTCCATGATGTATCTTTAACAATTCAATTCTAATCTCGTACATTTTACTCATAATATATTTTTATGACATTAATATGCTTTCATAAGAGGATATATGTTGGGTATTTATCCTCCTAGAGCTGGAATCACCTCTCGTTCTCTCCGTTCCTGAAGTTTGCTTTCTTCTACTTCTTTCTCTTTCATCTGTTGTTGCTCCCATTCTTCTTTGATCCTTCTCTGGAGACATAAAAGAAACAGGTGCCATAAAATAGTAGCTTACGCTGTACAAATATATCCTGAGCAAGCACCTCTCTCACATTATAATATATAATAATCCTTGCATTTGATATAGCGATTTTCACATTGCAAGCTTCCATTAAATGTCAAAATAAGTCTTGCTCAAGATTAATCCTTTTAGGTTTCAGTTATCTGACCAAAAATTGGGAAAATGTTAAAATTCAATTGCATTGTGAAATAGGACTCCTCTAGTTTACAGCCATAGCTTTAAGATTGATTAGAAGGTATATACTAGGCAATATACCAGACACAAGGCTTAGTAGTATAAAGGGGACATGAGCAGAATGGAATCAGTCATGATTCAATAAGTTGTTCATTCATTTTAAAAACACATGCCTATAATATAGAACCTATACTAGGTCCGAATGATTCAAAACTCTGTCATCCATGTTCTCACCCATACCAGGCTCCAGACCCTGATCATCCCAGCTCTTGCCAGGCTCCACCTGTTGCAGAACAGATCAGTTTCAGATCCTCGCTCCCACTTTCAAATCTCTTCTCACCATGGCACCTTCCTACCGCTCTGATCTGTTCACACCCCACTTTTGCTCCGTGTCGGGGTCTAGAGCCTGGTACGGATGAGGACATGGGTAGCAGAGTTTTGAATCATTTAGACCGAGTCATTGCTCGTTACTCTCAAAAGAGGCAATTCAGATCCAAATTGAGCTTTTTCCTTCTCCCCTTTTGATTCACTAGAAAGCTTTGCTCTGAGTCAATGACAGCCAGTCTGGGAATAATAATAATCCTTGCATTTGATATAGCGCCTTATCACGTCTTCGAGATGTCTCAAAGCGCTTCACAGAATATACTGTAAAGTGAACTGACTGTATATTTGTGGGCGAAACCTGGAAGCTAATTGGATACAGCAGTGTCCCACAAACAGTTGTGAATTGAGTGACCAATTTATTATTATTATTATTATTATAATAATAAAGGGCAATAGAGGGATTATTACCCCTGGAAAAGCGATCCGCCAATCGACTAACAACCTACTTACTGCTCGGTAAATAGAGGCATGTAGAGTAAGGAAACTTGCCCACATTTCGTCCTGTCCAGGAATTGAACCCAGGTTTCTCGCTTGCAAGGCAAGTGCTCTAGCCGCTAAACTACAGGAATACCATATGCAGTCCTCCAATGGCTTGTTTCCATGCCAAATCACTATGAATTTCTTCTAACAGGTACAGAATATATATCACTTCCATTACTCAGCACGAGCTATATTGTATTTATGAAAGAGAATTACAGATATCTCTTTAGTTTGGAGAAGCCTGGAATAAGTAATTGAAAAATAATCAGGGGATAATTAAAGAATGAAAACATATCTTGAAAATGTGACATTAGCACCAGTAAACATCATATCTGCTCCAAAAATACACAATGGGATGTAGATTGCAATATTCCTTGATAAGGAATATCTTCACCAACCAGTGGGAATTCCACTCTGAAAGTATTACACATCAAAGTGGTGTTTCTGTGGGTGATATAATTTGCCCAGCAGGAGTTCCCTTTTGTGCAACTTATTTTCATTATTAAAGAATCAGTTAAATTAGACAGTCAGTAGACAAAGGAGATTTTAAACTGTTAAATTGCTTTTCACATCTTACATTATTTTCCACATGATGGAAAGATTTAATTTAATTCTGTACCTCCCATATACAAAGCAGTGACACTAATTTCTATGTCTTGCCTTACTTGACACAAAAAATGGTAGTTATCCTGATAATCTTTTACAGACTGTCAAGCCATTTTCTCCAGATTAATCAGCAATAAGCAAATATCCTTTCTCTTCCTCAAATGCACCATAAGCCTCACCACCATGTTTCCTTCAGACCACACAAGGAAGGCATACATATTCTTCCCCCAAAACTAATGCAACAAAGGGGTTTTTGTTATAAATAAAGCAAAAAGATTTTGCTTACCTCTTCCTCCTCTTGCTTTTTTTGTGCCACTTCTTCCTTTTCCTTTTTCAGACGGAATTCCTCCTGAGCCCGTATCTCTGTTTCCAGCCATTCTGTATGTAAACGCTGCCTATAAAGGAGTCAATACTTAACTGCTGCAGGAACACCAAGCAACAATGCTCTCTCAGGTTATTTCAATGTGGACTAGAAATATACCCAATTCCACATTACTGCTACTGTCAGAGAAAGGAATGCTGCTTTTGGTACATTTACCAATAGTTCCTTCATGAGCAAACGTCTTCCTCCTCCTCAGCCCACCCCCAAAAGATGTAATAATTGGAAAACAAAATATACACCAACGGCAGATGGTGCCTCGAGTTAAAATCTCAAAGAAGGGATGGCATCTCTGACATCATAGCACTCTTTCCCAGTATTGCAATGTATTATCAGCTCAGAGTATAAATCCACATCCAGATCAGGGAAACTCAATCTGCAACCCAGAAGCACGAGTGATACACACTGAGCCAAGTTGACATTATAAACGTCATTAGTATAATTACTATATGACGAGGCCAAATCTTAAAACAGAAATTGCAACAGTTGCACAACAAACAAAAACTTGCACAAAAAAATGCTTCCTCACCTCAAAAAGCACATTACTGACCTTTCAGCCTCCAACTGTTTCTCTTCTTCATCAAGATCTCCTACTTCTGGTTCTACGTCCTCCTCAGCAGTTAATTCTGGAAGTCAATAGAGAGCATTCGGTGTTTAAAGCAGCTAGTGTAAGCTTTTTACTGGTCAGCTGTGTCTCTGATGGCAAAAACCATTACCATGCCTAAGAATCTCCAAACCAAATTAAAGGTTTCTTATGTTTTAAATTATTGTAGATAGTAACATTCCCTCTCTTCACCCTTCGAACTTTTTTTGATCAGACAATATCCATATGCTCTTTGGTGACATCATCCGCAGTTCACATGGTTCACAGTTCACACCTGCTCCCTTGACCCCATCTCCACTCCTTATCTCCCAGCTCCACCTCCTTGCCCCACATATCACAGACATCATCAACCTGTCCCTTTCCTCTGGCTCTGTTCCCATTCCCTTAAAAACTGCCACCATCACTTAAATCCTTGAAAAAACCCTCCCTTGATGCGTCGCAGCTATCAAGCTACCGGTCCATCTCCAACCTTCCCTTCCTGTCCAAGGTCCTGGAACGAGTTGTCGCCTCCCAGCTGCGCTCTTTCCTCTCCAACCATTCATTATTCGAACCCCTTCAGTTGGGTTTCCGTGCTGCCCATAGCACAGAAACTGCCCTGGTCAAGGTCACCAATGACTTCCTGACCATCTGTGACCAGGGCTCCCTCTGCCTCCTCGTCCTCCTCGTCCTATCGGTCGCATTCGATAGGGTCGACCATTCTATCCTCCTCCACCGCTTGTCCTCCCACCTAAACCTTCAAGGCCCTGTCCTTGAGTGGTTTAGGTCGTACCTCTCCCACCGTCTTCACTTTGTCTCCACGAATGGTTTTTCCTCCAGCCCCCGCACTGTCTCGTGCGGTGTCCCTCAGGGCTCTGTCCTCGGTCCCCTCCTCTTCACTCTCTACATGCTCCCCCTTGGTGACATCCGCAGACATGGGGTTAACTTCCACATGTATGCGGATGACACCCAACTCTACCTTTCCTCCTCTACCCTCAACTCCACGACCACCGATGTCCTGACAGCTGCCTGTCCGACATCGAGTCCTGGACGAGAGATAACTTTCTTCAGCTCAACGTGCGTAAAACTGAGGCCCTCCTGATTGGCTCACGTCAGCGCCTCCGCACCTCAGGCGCTGACAGCATCAGCATCCAAGGCTGCACTCTCAACCTCTCAAAGTCAGTCAGGAACCTCGGGGTTCTGTTCGACCCTGAGCTGTCCTTTCTCCCTCATATCTGCGCCACAACTGGCACCGCCTTCCATCACCTCCAGAATGTCGCAAGACTACGGCACTACCTCACCCCTCACGCTGCTGAAACTCTGGTCCACGCCTTTATCACCTCAAGGCTGGACTATGGGAACTCTCTCCTCGCCGGCCTTCCCAGCACCTCCCTCCACAAGCTGCAGGTCATTCAGAACTCTGCAGCTCGTGTACTGTCCCGCACCAGGCTTCGGGACCACATCACTCCCACCCTCGCTCGCCTCCACTGGCTCCCCATCCCCCAGAGGATCGAATTCAAGATCCTCATCCTCACCTACATTCACGGCCTTACTCCCTCCTACCTCTCTGACCTACTATCCCCCTACCTACCTGCCCGTAACCTCCGTTACTCTGGCTCCGGTCTGCTCCACATCCCCCGCCCCAACCGCCCTACCATCGGTGGCCGGGCCTTCAGCCTCTCAGTCTCTAGGCTCTGGAACTCCATTCCCCAGTGCCTTCGCCGCCTCCTCCCTTTCCTCCTTCAAGGCCGGTCTCAAGACCTTTCTCTTTGACCGTGCCTTCAGCTCCCCTCTCGACTCTCTACCCCCTCCTCGCTCCCTCCCTTCCCTCCCCCTGACCATTTCCCCCTGCTCAGGTCCTGACCCAACTGTACAGCGCCTTGGGACGTCCTCCCGATGTGAAAGGCGCTCAATAAATGGAATCTTGTTGTTGTTGTGAATTTCCACATGTAAGCGGATGACACCCAACGCTATCTCTCTGCCTCCACCCTCAACTCCAGGATACCTGCTGTCCTGACAGATATCGCTCAGACATCAAGTCCTGGATGAGAGCTAACTTTCTCCTGTTGAACGTCAAAAAGACCGAGGTCCTCCTGATTGGCTCCCGTCGGCGCCTCCATACCTCAGGCACTGGCAGTATCACCATTTAAGGATGCACACTCCACCTTACTAAGCCAGTCCGGAACCTTGGCGTCTTGTTTGACCTTCAACTGTTCTTTCTACCCCACATCCGTACCAGGACCCACTCTGCCTTCTCCCACCTCCGGAACATCACCCGGCTCCGCTACTGTCTCACACTGCAGGCCGCCAAGACCCTCATACATGCTTTCATTACATCGAGGCTTCACTATGCAAACTCCCTACTTGTCAGCACCTCAACTCCTCCCTCCATAGGCTGCAGATGATCCATAACTTCGCAGCTCTTGTCCTCTCCTGCACTAGGCTCCACGACCCCATCAACCCCATCCTTGCCGGTCTCCAGTGGCTTCCCATCACACAGAGGATACAGTTCAAGATCCTGCTACTCACCTTCAAAGCCCTCCATGGCCTTGCTCCCCCCTACCTCTGTGACCTCCTAACCCCCTACCAACCTGCCCACTCTCTCCGCTGGCTCCGGCCTGCTTCACGTCCCCTGCCTTGCCCATCCCACCATTGGCGAATGGGTCTTCAGCCACTCTGCCCCCACCCTCTGGAACTCCTTCCCGCAGTCCTTCCGCCTCGCCCCCTCCCTTGCCTCCTTGAAGACCCATCTCAAGACTCTCCTCTTCGACCGTGCCTTCAGTCACCCTCTTTCCCCCCCTGCCCTCCACCCTCCCCAATCCCGACCCCCAGCTTGGGACTGAAGAACTGATTGTCCAGGGTCTTGGGACGTCCTCCCAACATGAAAGGTGCTATCCAAATGTAATTTTGTTGTTGTGGCCTCATACGTGTGGAAACCCATTGCTATGATACTAGAGTATCCAACACAGACACAGCTCCGTATATGCGTGGCACCTGTACATTTCTGGAATGGAATACACGTACACACTCTCCACTTAGAGATGTGCATCCTGCTTACCTAACTTAGGAAAGTATTAGCCACCGGTTGCAGAAGCAAGGCTCAGAGCACTGTCTGGCAACCTTCCTGCTGCTTGTTCAGCTAAGGAACCCCCTCCCCAATATAGTTTTGGCACGCATTGTTAATAATAGCTTTGTAGACATAATTCCTGCCTCCGGTGACTGGTTTGCCATCAATAATGCCCTGGATTATATAGAACCTGACTGGCTCAGGAACCAGACAACCAAGTTCAGAACATCACTTTGCTAAGCTGGCCAGTGTCAGGATGATGTTGCGTTACCTTCTTCTCTCTGTTTAGCCTCAATTTGTCTCTTTCTCTTCCGCTTTTCCTTTCTTACCAGAGCCCTGAACTGCTTGCGGCTGCGGGAACACAACACACATAACAAGGTTAGAGGCTTCTCTGGTCTGACATTTCGTCGGGGGGGGAGAGGGGGGTATCAGGGTTGGGTTGGGGTCATATTGTGTGTGTGTGTGGGGGAGTGGGATGGCGGGAGATCAGGACTGTAATCAGTTGGCGGGAGGGAGGGAATGGGCGAGATTTACTCATCTCGCCGGGCCCAGGCCAGGGTGTGCTGCGCTCTGAGTGTTTAAACTCCGGGAAACTCAGGCCGCCCCTCACTGCCCCGGCCGGGCCTGGTGGGGGGGAGCTGCCCCCGGGCCTGGTGGTGGGGGGAGCTGCCCCCGGGCCGGGCCTGGTGGGGGGGGGGGGGAGCTGCCCCCGGGCCTGGTGGGGTGGGGAGGGGGGAGCTGCCCCGGGTCGGGCCGGGCCTGGTGGTGGGGGGGAGCTGCCCGGGCCGGGCCGGGCCTGGTGGGGGGGGGGGGAGCTGCCCCGGGCCTGGTGGGGTGGGGAGGGGGAGCTGCCCCGGGTCGGGCCGGGCCTGGTGGTGGGGGGAGCTGCCCCGGGCCGGCCGGGCCTGGTGGGGGGGGGGGAGCTGCCCCGGGCCGGGCCTGGTGGTGGGGGGGAGCTGCCCCCGGGCCTGGTGGGGTGGGGGGGGGAGCTGCCCCCGGGCCGGGCCTGGTGTGGGGGAGCTGCCCCCGGGCCTGGTGGGGGGTGGGAGCTGCCCCGGGCCGGGCCTGGTGGGGTGGGGGGGGGTGGGAGCTGCCCCCGGGCCGGGCCTGGTGGGGGGGGGAGCTGCCCTCGGGTCGGTCCCGGGTCTCACCTGAGCCGCTGAGAAACTGCCAACATGGGCGCCGCCATCTTGGTCTGGAGTGCGTCACTGGCCGGTCACGTGGTGCCGCACTGCTCTGCACCACTCACTCACTCACTGCCTCCCAGTCAGGCAGCCCCAGGCTGTGCAGGTCTGAATCAGTGCAAATTCATTGTGTGTGTGTTTATTGTATTATTGATAGTCATGAGGCTTCAAATTTCTAACAGTTGTATTAGCAAAGACTTGAAATATTTGTGTTTTTATAATACAAAGCATAGCTGCTAAGGCTGGAGATCTGAAATAAAAACCTGGAAGTGTTGGAAATAAACAATTGTCATTCCATAGCAGAAAGAGAGAAAAAAAAATGTTTAACGTATCTGGTTATGCTGAAGGCACATTTGTCCAAAACGTTTTTTCTTTGCTTCCAACTGAGTATCGATTCGCCGTGTATACCCAGCATTTGTGTTTTTATTTCAGAGTCGGAAATCTTTGGCTCCTGCATGCAGTGGCATAGCAAGACTGTTTACTGTACTCGGATACGATTTCAGATTGGCAACTAATTATATATTTATTTTTTAAATTAAATCCAAGGAAATAAATCTCTCTGACAATAGAAGAGTGAATCTCCAGGCAAGAAAAAAAAATACTCCACCTTTAAGATCCACTTTTGAATGCTCGTGGAAGGTAAATTTTGCTCGTTTGCAAAGTTGATGGCTGTGACATCAATGGAGTGATAGAAGAAGGAACCGTCTTCTGTACCATATGGTTTCTGAAAGGCATCAACAGAATGCAGAGCAGAAGATGAAGAGTTCTTCGCTGTACAGATGAATACAATGGTCATGGAGGTTGCAGCCCACCTGGAGCAGATTTAGCAGAAAATAGGCAAAGTTTTTCTTGTAGGAACTAAAGATTGAAATCCATGGCGAAATACTGGATAGCCTAAGTGATTATGAATATGTTGTCCTGAGGTACAACCTAACCGAGTTGAACTGCCAGAATTATGGTTGGGGTAAATACAGATAGCAAAAGTGCTCTTGATAAAAGCCATATTCTTTGAAGACTCGATCAGAAAAGCTGTATGATTTTTTGGTATTCATGAGTGTGGATCTGGAAGAGGTCAAGCAGCGTTTGCCCATTTGATGAAAACTGCTGATAAAGGATTTGAGATTCCAACTTGCAATCTGATGGCATTGGCTTCAAATGATGCAGCTTCAATGAAGGGTAAAAAAATATTTTTCTGACATAAAACAAATCGGATTACCAGGTGCCAATATATTGGATGTTATTGCCACTTAGCAGACATTTGCAGCAAAGCAAGTCTGTATCAGCACCTGCAGTAGGACTTTTACTGAATATCTGACGGATTTCACTCTGTTCCCTACAAGAAGAAATCTTGGAGGAGTTTGCCATTCTTGTTGACATTGAGGCATGTTAGGTGATAAAGTATGTGGCAACAAAGTGGCTATGTAAAGTTTTGAAATGAATGGTAGCTATGTGGTCAGCCCTTCTGTTGTATTGTGTAGGTCATATGAGACCAGAGCTGTGTTGATAGAACTTATTTGCAAGATTTCACAGAGTGGAAGTTAAGATCTGATTCCCTTTTCACAAGCACAAACTTGTACCTGTTCATCAATTCATCATTAAGCTTCAGAGCACTGAGACCTTCACTCTGCATCGGATTGTGTGCATGGTAACTCGTTTATTCTGGCAGACTATCAAAAGGCTCAGTGTAGTTGCTACCAAGTAACAAACCCAGACTTCCAAGTGACTGGAACTGTTTTCTGCTTTTAGAGGAAGTTCATGTTAGACTTGAAATATAACAGCATACGGGAGAAACGTCACTGCCGGCAGAGTGACAGAAAGAAATTCTTATCAGAAAGCTGCATTGTTCTACACAAATACCCTTTCAAACATACTGAAAAAAAATTCTCAGTGAATGAACATCTACTGCAAAAATGTGGGGACAGTACTGAATGCTGCATCCAAACTTCGCCTGTCGACCAAAGTGATCGTGGCCATTGCTGCTCATTTTGGGAGTAAGCATTACCAAGGTGATCAGTGACAAGTTAATGCATTTGCTATTGTGTTATTTTACCTATATTGTTGGTGCACTTAGTGGATCATATGGAAATGAATTCATGTAATGAAGCAGGTTGCGTAGAGATGAGTATAGCGAAAAAGCTATTAGCAATTTTGAAAAGTATAGTGTTGAGCATGCTATACTTTATTGTTGAACTGGAGGATAAGTTCAAGAAATAACACTAGTCAATGCTAGAAATTCACAGATTCATAGGTCAATCTTCATCTGAAACACAAGGATAGGTTAATGGCCTGAGCTGGACCTTTAATCAAGACTGAAACTGTGTTGGACGAGCCACTTTATTGACCAGAAAAGGGCAAGTTAGGTTTCCTTTTGGAAAATGTTAAATTGCATATGGAAAAAGGCAAATGATGAAATAGAAACTTAACAGGTTACTGGGAAGAAGTTAGAAAATATAATGCATAAAAATAAGAAACTAAGCTGCTGCTTTGAAGTACAGCTATGCCAGGTGATCCTCAACGACGCAAAAATAACAACTACATTAATTCTTTGTTGATAATAGCAAAATAATATCAATACATTGAAAGCAATTATTATACAATAAAATATTTACAGTATACTTGAAACACTTTGATAGTAATCGGAATGTAATTTGTTTTGAGATACCGAAGTAAACAATTACAAGAAAGTAACACAGAGATCTGCATTTGAAGTTGGAGAGGTGCTATCAACTGGGATAGGCACAGTCCAAAGCAGATGCCCCTGGTTTTGACCAATTGTCTCTGAACTTTGTGGACTGTGTCCCTGATGGCTGGGATCAAAGGCTGCGAGGTATGCTGGGAGGTATTTCAAGGTCATTTGATTAGAAGAACACTAGGTTCTCTTAATCCTATGTACAGTCAGATCTGGTTCATTCAAATAATGTTGGAATCCTTGCATTATGTTGCACAATGTAAATAAAAGATTGTTCAGACACCAAATCCAATATATAAAAGAACTAAAGCAAACAGTGTGTCGATTGTTTAGATATTTCTATCAGTTGTTTGTAATATTCTTAGTGAGTTAAAAATAATCTCTTCAGCCGCATGTTATTTAACTGTATTAAGTGATTAGCTTTAGGATATTTCCTTGATAAACATTTTTAGCGATGGTTTTCTCTGCACTGTGAGGCCTGCAGTATATCAGGGGGACTGTGGTAAGTTCAATTTAGTTGTTTAGCTTAGCTTTGTGGTGCAAATTGTGTCTTGAATTATGTTTTAAACTTACTTAGACTCAGCATGTGAGTTGCAGAGCCTGTGGCTTACACTGAAATTAAAAGGCAGGAATGCCACGAGTCTTATGTTTGCCTGAGATTTTGCAGCCAGTCTCACACAGCCAGAGTGGATTCAACACTTGTAAAATACAATCAGGCCCATCATAAAGCTTTTCAGTATAATAAAAAAAGTTTGAAATTGAGATAGGATTTTTTAAAATTGAATAATATTCACACTTTTTTTTAAACTCTTGTACTGTGCAAATTAAATGAGACTTTTACATAGATTTTATGTAAATTTTACATGGTCTGTACATGGAGGATATGCAGTTTTGAGTATTTTGAAAGTGACGTTTATATGTAACGTGGACCAATGCACTGCAAATGTATTAACTAAAAGTTAAGAAACTTTACATTTGCATTTAGAATTGGAAGTTCCCCAATAAATGAGGAACACACAGTATGTGGGAATTTATCTTGTTTTGCAGTTTTTACTTCTGTCTGGCTACGCACAATGAAGGTGATTTTGCTTTTGTACTGTACGTTTTTAACAGTTTGAAATTGAAACTGGACTTTTTAAAATTCAATAATGTTTACACATTTTCTTGAATTTTGGTACAGAGTGAGTTACATGATAGTTGGAGGTTTTGCATAGTTTGAACATAGTGGTCATACAGTACTGTACGTTTTGGTAGTAGTGTTCATTGAGAGTTGGCAGGCAATCCATCATTTGAAAAAATGCCTCAAATTGCTTTACAAAGCTTTTATCAAAAAAAGTTTGTTTGAATTTTTTAATAATATTTACATGTTTTCTTTTATTTAACACCATGAAAGTTATATGATATTTGTACATATTGAGTATTGAGTATACCAATGCAATTTGTTGTTGTAGTAGTAGTTAGAGTTTGTACTTTAATGATATACAACAACAACTTGGATTTATATAGCGCCCTCCACGCTGGATGGTGTTTCAGAGCGCTTTACAGTAACGGATCCTGGGATCAAGCCGGGGGAGGGGGAGGAAGGTGCGGTCGAAAAGAAAGGTCTTCAGCAGAGACTTGAAAATGGGAAGGGAGGGAGCGAGACGAAGGGAACGAGGAAGGCAGTTCCAGAGCCTTGGGGCATAGTGACTGAAGGCACGGCTGCCGAGGGTGGAGCGGAGGACTCGGGGGAAGAGGAGGCCAGACCCGGAGGAACGAACGCAACGGGCACTGTTTTGAGGAGAGAGGAGGTCAGAGAGGTAGGGGGTTGCAGAGGAGTGCAGGGACTTGAATACAAGGGTGAGGATCTTGAAATCGATCCTCTCTGGGATAGGCAGCCAGTGCAGTCTGGCAAGGCCTGGGGTGATTGGAGAGTGGAGTTTCGTGCGGGTGAGAATACGGGCGGCAGAGTTTTGAATGATTTGGATTTTATGGATGGTAGTGGATGGGAGGCCGGCGAGGAGGACGTTGGAGTAGTCCAGCTGAGAGGTGACAAAGGCATGGACCAGGGTTTCCGCGGCTTTTGGGGAGAGGTATTGGCGGAGACGGACGATGCGTCGGAGGTGGTAGAAGGCGGTCCTGGTGAGGGACTGGATGTGTGGGAGAAAGGACAACCGGGGGTCGAACCCGACGCCCAGGCTGCGCACGGGTTCGGAGAGTTTTAGGGGGAGATCGGGTAGGTGGAGGAGGTGAGAGCTGCGAGATTCTAGACGTTGATGAGAGCCAAAGAGTATGGACTCCGACCTGTCAACGTTCAGCTGTAGGAAGTTTGCGCTCATCCAGCCCTTGAGATCTGACAGGCAGGCTGGGGGTCGCAAAGAGAGGTGGAAAAATCGAGTTGGGTGTCATCTGCATACATGTGGACGTGTACCCCATGTCTGCGGATGACATCCCCAAGAGGGAACATGTAGATCAGAAAGAGGAGGGGGCCAAGGATGGATCCTTGGGGTATCCCGCAGGTGACCGGGTGAGAGTGGGAGGAAAAGCTGTTTGTGCATATTTTATTTGAGAGTTGGCAGGGCACCTACCATTTAAAGGAACATCTGTCAAATACCGTTGAACAGTGAAGTGAGAAATCTGAAGATGTTGACCAAAGGTGCAGTCAAAAAAGATATGTTGTGCAATGGGTTGTGTAGTTACGAGCTGGTTACTATGGGAGCACGTTGGTCTGTTTGTCTCAGGTGAGCTGCCTTGTTAAATTTTCTCCATTGCCTTTTCACGTTTGACTCCCAACTCCATCAACCTCATTTACTGCTCCGTTAGGCTTAAACAGTCTGTGTGCTATCCTAGCATTTCCTTGAACCTCCAACTGTGCACAAAACCCCATTTGTAAGACGGCCTTTTTCCATTCCCAGAACATTGCTTGCTTGGTGCTATCAAACTTAAATGCTTCAAGATGTGCATCCTATGTATTTAAAATGCAAGTTGTCTTTTAGATTGGCTGTGGATGTGAGCCATCTGGATGAGTGCTAATGGAGTGGATCTGTAGAAAGGGAGCCCACACAGCTGTTGGTACGTGTCACCCTTGCATTTGGCCTATGTATTCCTCATTCAGACTGGCAAGTGCTCCACAGATGTCTTCTCCACCTGTTTGTTGTGGGAGGTGTCAAAACTGTTTTTCACCAGGGGCTTGCTTCTCCTTCATGCTAGAAGTGGAAACAGTAGCTTTTAGTTACGGGATTGGTTTGTAGCGTGCTCCACTGGAGTTCCTTGCATGATCAGGACATGTAATATTATTCTGTTGCTTATGGAGCCTCCGTAGATGCTGGGCTATTTCCAAATAGGAAGCTTGGCTACAGAGCCAAATCAGTTGAGTTCGGAAGTTCCCCGGAAGTCATACTGTGACTATCTGCCTTGGGAGGAGTTACATGGAGCTCTCCTTGGCTATGAGCTGGTTCCAAGGTAACATGCGGGGGAATAGAATATCGGAATTGAGTCAACCCTCTGTGGGAGACTTGGTAGTCTGGTTCTTAAGCCATATGGGTCTGCAGTATTCCAGGGCACTGCTGATATAGCCAATATGATCATAATAATAATCCTTGCATTTGATATAGCGTCTTATCACATTTTCGAGACGTCTCAAAGTGCTTCACAGAATATAGTGTAAAGTGAATTCACTGTATATTTTGTGGGCAAACTATAGCTTTTAAGCAGGACTTGGAGGATCAGACGAGTCACTGGGAGCAGGGGTTCTTCCTGCTCGGCTTCTGTTAACCCTGCAAGCCAAAGCCCTAATCAGCTGGATGTTCCTGGTTAGACAAGCAGCCACAAACAGGCATGGATGAGTAGCCAATTTGAATTGGGGGATTGTTGGCCAGGACACTAGGAGAGAGAATCTCACGTCTCTTTTCCAATAGTGCCGTGGATGATCTTTAACCTGAACAAGCAGATGGCACCTCAGTTTAATGTCTCATCCGAAGAGAGGATTTCTTTTAACTTCAACAACAATGTTTCTGTTTACTACATCTATTTTTTGCCCGAAGTTCCCGTTCCCTTTCTACTCTGCCTGCAAACAAGAGGTAGGATAGAGCAGTCGGGACAAGCTGTAGGAATGCACTATCCTCTTTTCTGCTTTATCATGTTTGCAGGAGGTAGGATGGCAGCATTTAGGCACACAATATTTCCCTTTCTGTGCTTCCTGCCTTGACTGCCTCCGACCCGACCTATACCTCCTAAAACTGCCTTTGCCATCCCTTTTATATATTTTCTCATATGCGCGCTTTTCAGTTTCAACTTCTCTAGTTGATACTATTGCCTTTTTAAAAATAAAGAGCTGGA